GCTAAGACATTATTAAATTTATGGAGGACAAAGCTATTGCATATATGACAATGGTATTCAATCATATCTTACAATTCACTCTTATACCCAAGCAGTGGAAATAAACCATTGTCATGCTTATTCCAAAAAAAGTAATATGGAGTCACAAGCTTATTGACACTAGACCTATCTCACTTGTCGACTTTACAAGAAAAATATTTATAGGATTAATTAACAAAAAATTAATCAAAATTCTCAAAAATAACAACATTTTATCAGAATTTAATTGTGCTGGTCTCCCTAAACAAAGTACAATAAAACCCTAACCATTGTATACTCAGCCCTCCAAGTAGCAAATGCCAACAATAGGGAATTTTGGTTTGTCTCTTGACATCGCCAAAGCATTTGACTCAGCTCCAATATCAGCAATAAAAAAATCTTTAGAAAGAATCAACTGCCCTGAACAAATCAACAAACTTCTTATCAATATTTTGAGCAATAGAGAAGTATCCATCAATAAGCCATTTGGACCAACTGATCTATTTATCGTCAACAATGGTGTAGAGCAAGGTAAAACATTATCACCAATTACCTGGATTATTTTCTATGACCCCCTGGTCACTAAACTATCACAGCATGACTTAGTTCAAGAATATGTGGCTCCTAATATACTTGCATATATGGATAAACTAGCACTTATTGTAGACTCCAAACAAAAAATGGAAAATCTCCTAAATGTGACCAATCAATTCTTCACATTGAACAATATCACATGCAACAAAGATAAAACAAAAATTATTAACAATATTAGAGTAAAGCAAGGGACTCAAAACACTATCAAATTTGACAATCATTATATTCAAATCCTTAAACTATACAAAAGTGTTAAATATCCTGAAATACTAATTTCTCCCAGAAACTTTAACAAGGTCAACAAAAGAGCATTCTTACAGACATGATTGCAAATTATTAAAGAACTTACTAAACATAACTGGAGAGGAAAAATTAAACAACAAATTAATAATTGAGTTACCATGGGGAAGTTTGAGTATTTTCTACTTTTTTCGTTTCTCAACAAAACAACCCTCAATCTACTCCAAGCCAAAATTAACAAACTGGTGAAGTCAGCATATAGGATTTCACCAAAATGCTCCAATACAATTCTAGTTAGCCATAGCGGCCTCAATCTAACAGTATTAGAAGAGAGACAGAGAATCACCTTAATAGGAAACCCCATTTTCAAGCTCTCTATTTCCTCTATCAGGAAATATATAATACAAGACATTCAATCCATCCAAACAAAAGAGGCTATTTGGTTTTGCCCTATTTGTGACCCAGAGAAATTCAATCAGGGAAATTGAATTCAATATGCTGCAAAATCAGTCAAAAATCTTAAAATTCAAATTTGTCTAGTAGAGTATTCATTCCATTTTGATAACACAGAGAACTCTATCGGTTTTCTATTTACTAGCATGCAATCTCAACTTAAAAAGACAGCAATAAATACAACCAATGCTCTCAACATAAAGTTTACTAACCAACTACTGAAATACAATAACACCACAAACTTTCTTGGACACAACTTGCTACACATACAAAAATAATCTGCTTTGGTCCAGAGCCCAACTGGTTTAAAACATTTGTAAATATCAAAAACCTTCTTGAAATCCATGACCCAATTTCAAATCCTAAGACAACATTTTGGTTCCTACACAATATCAATGCAGTCACCAAAACCTGCAAAAGATATATCTCAATAGACGGAAAAACACCACTCAGAGGCAAATATTTCACTATAGACCCTAACAATAATTTCACCAGATATTTGAGCTGTTCAATTGACACATTCTCTCATAGTTTCTGTTGAATACCATTTACAAGCACATCAGCCTCCACACTATGGGTTTCTTTTAATCCTTCCAACAGATTCAAATACTGTTTACTCAATATAATTGATAAAGTCGTCAACTTATCATCTAACAACGAACACATCCTTCAAGAAGTCAATATTTCTACCAATTATTCTCTTTAATCATTATTGCAAGATCTTGGTTCGCAACAGTATTATCATATCCAATCACACAAAATAGTCTATTTATAAATGAGATCGAAGTAAAACCACTCAACTTCTGCTTATCACTAGGCAACATTTTACTGGCAATCTTTGATATTATTCAAGGAATCCCAGTTCACTCCACTATTGAAATCAGAAGCAACAAAAAAATCTTTCAACCAATATCTGAGTACTCGAAAAGAATGGTTAAAATTAACTTCTTCTCATTATCCCAAAGAATAAATCAATGCATATAACAGAAATCCATAGAAATTGTATATACCAAACCCAAGTCCAGACCAATATTAATTAGAACTATTCAATGAAACAGCTCTCTACAACACTTTCCCGAAAACCTTTTAATCAACGATATTTACCTAGGTAGTAGTACCAGATGGTACAAGAAAATCTTCAGCATTACTAGAGATTACATGGTATATGAAAGCTCCTCAGTTGTTTAAACATTTGGACAAACACATTCTTCGCATGGTCTAAAAGTCATTAATCAATCCAACAAAAATATCAGAAAGCTTCATAACAACAAGTATAACATTCTAGTGGTCTTCAGAATCAAACTACTCTTGGGAACTCTTCCAATTCATCTTACACTTTACCAACTATATTCTAATAAATATCTAGATACCTTGTATTCATGATGCAAACTCTGCACTGAAGATATCCAACATGTTTTTAAATGTTCAGATGCATTACAAGCAACTAACAGATTATTAAAACTATTAATTAGACTCTCCATCCAGACAATAATTACAAACTGATCTCACATATATGACAAGTTATCGAACTATCATGTGGAGTCACAGACAAAATCTTCTTCACCTCAACCCCTATCAATTGGATCAAGGCAGCAATAGAATTTTTAACTCTGTTATATGATCTAATTTAGAAACCATGCTACTCCACAGCCAACACCTTACCTCTTATTGGAATCAAGTAGAACCATGCCAAGCCCTATAATTCAATCAATTTCATAAACCCAGAAACCAAAAAAACCCTGCAAACCAAAGACAACTCCAATAACCCACAAGATAACATTATTATTAACTTATCCTCTATGGTCACTAACTCATTTATCCAATCTAAATATAATTATTCCAAATGTATTTATAGCTTAACAACTCTATCTACTAATTTCAACCCTATTTCTCCTGATACTGAATAGGTATTCATAGCTGCTCAGTACCATTCGACAAGTTATATTGTTTTAAACTTTCTTTTCAATATTAGTTATATAGTTATTGTAGGCAAGCTAGCATTTAACTCATTGTATTAACACATGAGAGATATTGTTTCTTTTATGATGTATATCATATTATATGCAAATCAAATAAAGAAATGATGTTTACCTACTTAATAAAAAAAAAATCTGTATTTTTTCTTTAATTATCTTTAGAGTTGTCTGCTCTACTCTCCATTAATAAAGTTTTTTTTTAATATCTCTTTTCTAAATATCTTTTTTAATTGTATTTTACTAATCAAAAATTTATTTTTATCAAATATGTATGAAAAATCAAATTATTAGGGAGGTATTGGCTCCTAATTTAATAAATAGTTACTTTTAAAATTTTACCAAACTAATGTTTTTATAAAATATATTTACTATAGTTCCAAAAATTGGAATCAAACAGAATTGCAAGAAATCATATGAGGTTCAGAACACTATTAAAAATGATGGTGGAGTATACTCCACCTATTAAATTTAATATAAACTTGAGAATCGAATATAGAATCGAAAAGAATCGTTAGGATTCTTAATATTTACTTATAGGCAGGTCAATATTTATAGCAATATATCTCAATGTATTACTATTGTTGTAAATTTTTATTAAAACTTTTTGTAAAAATTAAATCAACAATTAATAAAGATTACAATTTGAGAAGTGTCTTGCAAAAAAAAAATAGGTGGGTCAATATTTATAGCAATATATCTCAATATATTACTATTGTTGTAAATTTTTATTGAAACTTTTTGTAAAAATTGAATCAATGATTAATAAAGATTACAATTTAAGAAGTGTCTTGCAAAAAAAAAAAATAATAATAAATATATAAAGATAATCTTTAAAATATAATATTGATTTTAATAACATTATTATATTTTGATTAAATTTACAATATAAAATATATTAATAGAAAAAAACAAGTTTAAAACTTTATCATTAGAATTTGTAAACAGTAGAAAAAAATTTAACAATATTGTCATTATCAAAATATTAACAAACAGAAAAATAATTTACAATTAACTAGTTTTTGGAAACCTTAAAACCAAACCGAATATAAAAACAATAGTAAATAAAGTCATGTATTCTTTACAAAGTTTGAAAATAGAAACTGGGCACAAATTTACCTCTCTAATCTCTATAATTATATGAAATAATATGAAATAATAATAAAAAATGATAACATTTTTCAACACATTTTTAATCTCAGATTTCAAACCCAATTTTACTGACAAATAAATTTGTTTCATTAATGATATCATTATTCAGAATGAGTATTTAATAATAGTATTAACTCACTCATAGAAATACAAGTACTATAGGTTACATTGCAATAGGCTACAATTATATATAATGTAATATATTAATGATTTTATTTCAAAAAAACGAAAAAATAAATTATTAAAATTATGTACTTACATTTCTATTAAATAAAGCTGTTTTTTATAAAATTATTTTTACATAATAAAAAAAGTTCGAATTTTTTTGTTGCACGCTATATGTACACAGCGTTTATAGAATTTATTAAAGTAATTTAAGGCGTAAATAATTATAACATCATATTGGTTATTAATGTTTTTAGAATAATAATGCAAACAGAGAATGCATGTGAAAAATTATATACATAAATTCATATGAGAATATAAAGATCTATCATTAGAATATGTCATAATTATCAATTTATAGTAAAAAAGTTCTCACTATTATATTTCCAATATTTATCCCCGCCTTCATTTAAAGGCTTTTAAGAACAACAAAGATGCCTTCTTAATATTGTAGTAGTCTCTATTCAATATCGATTCCTGTACTATTTCTATCTTCGGATTTTAAATATAAGTGAAGCGCTTTCTCTATATCTTTGGTGGTCCCAATTCCAATTTCATAACATTATCCAAGATTATTCTGCCCATGATTGTTTCCAGATTCGCCAGATTTTAAATACCAATGGAACGCTTTCTCCACATTTTTTGTGACTCCAATTCCGTATTGATAACATTTTCCAAGATTATTCTGCCCGTGGCTGTTTCCAGATTCGCCAGATTTTAAATACCATTGGAACGCACTCTCTTCGTCCTTTGTAGTTCCAATTCCATTTTGATAACACTCTCCAAGATTATTCTGTCCAAAACTATCCCCAGCTTCAGCGGACCTTAAGTAAAATTGGAATGCCTTTTCATAATCTACCTTGGTTCCGATTCCATTCTTATAGCAATGCCCAAGATTACATTGTCCCCCAGGGTCACCACCAGCAGCAGAACTTGAATACCATTGAAATGCCTTCTTATGATCTATCACTGTTCCAATTCCATTCATATAACAGTGACCAAGATTTTTTCTCCCACGGTTGTTTCCACTTTTGGCCGATTTCGTGTACCACTTAAAAGCTTTCTTTTCATTTTTGATGGTTCCGATTCCATTTTCGTAACAAAGTCCAAGATTATCCTGTCCACTTCCATTTCCAGCTTTAGCAGACATTTTGTACCACTGAAATGATTCGGCCTCCTTTTTTGGAACCCCTATTCCATCCTTATAACAATTTCCGAGGTTACATTGTCCGGAACTATTACCACCCTCAGCGGACTTCATGTACCACTTGAAAGATTCTTTTTCATTTTTTGAGGTCCCAAGTCCATGCTGATAACAGTACCCAAGATTATCTTGCCCAATGGAATTTCCATTTCTAGCAGATTTTGTGTACCATTTAAATGCTTCCTTTTCATCCTTTTCAACCCCGATTCCATGTCGGTAACAATATGCAACATTATTTTGCCCATTGCTGCTTTCATTTTTGGCCGATATTAAGTACCACTCAAATGCTTTATTATGATTCTTTACAGTTCCAATTCCATGCTCATAGCAACATCCAACTTTGTATTGATCTTCTTTATTCCCGCTTTCGGCAGATTTCAGATACTTATGAAATTCTTTTTCACTCGAATTGGAAAAAATCAGTATATTGTGTTTGTTTTTAAGTCTATTTTTTGACAAATTTTCTATTTTCCACTTTGATATATCTATATGTATTTATATGTTTAGTATGTGATGGGTGGCCATTCGTTGACTCAAACATTTGTTATTGAAATAAAAATTAAGAATTATACTCACTAGGAAACAACACCGATGCCGTATATGAGCTTGAATCTGTCCATTTAATGATAGAAGTTTTGTATAAAAACCCGTTAGAGTATGACAGAAGATAATAAAAATTTTAATGTTGAATGCTCATTAGAATTTGTAATCCTCGCAAATAATGTTAGTACTCGAACTATTTCTCTTCCCCATCCTTTCAAAAATAATGAAATAACGATATATCTCTCTAACTTGACGTAGTACTTCTCGAAAATAGCAAAGTGATGAAGCCATAAAGAATGACAGATAATAATTAAGTTCATACCTGAATCCTTATCTTTTGCGTTCTCCACTTTACACCCTAATATATAATAAGTCAAGTAATTAATATAGATATTTAATATTTTGAACTCTTGGTATGAATAGTATTTTTTTATAATACCGAAATCATTGTTCATGGCTTCTCGATCAAGTTCATGTAGATGCTGTGAATATAATCTTAAAATGTCAGAATTATTTTTTTCCGTAAACTGCATGATAGGCTCTGCTAAATTATTGTTATCCAATAATGTTATCCATATAGCTATGATGTGCGATATAGATTTTGCGGCAGGACGGTTTGATGGATCCGCGTCCCAACATAGTTTAATTAATTCAGACAATAATTGAGGAATATTTTCTAACGAAGGCCTTTCACCACTACAAATTTCCATGATCAAATGTATGTCATGTGGACATCCATAATATGGATGAAAACCAGTGGCAATTTCGCTGATTAACATGCCTAAGCTATACACGTCAGAATTTTTGGTACAAGGGCTTCCTTGCAGAACTTCGGGTGCTAAGTAAGGTGTAATTCCAACGGCACTCGTGGAATCGGTAGAGTCTGTGACTGATTGACACATTCCTAAATCTGAAATGAACGACAATTTATCTACCTGTAAAATGTTACCGGAATGTAAATCTCGATGAAGTAAATTTAACTGATGAATATCGCTTATCCCTTTAGTGATTCTCAGCATCATTAATAATTTATCTCTCCATTTTAAGTGAAGAAAGTTTTCTTTTAAATATTGTCGCAAGTCGCCCGAATTCGCTTGTTGTAAAACCATAATGTAATTGTGCGAGATAGGATCTCTTGAAATTCCAAATAGTCTTATTAAATACGGCTGACCGTTGCATTTTGTATGGCACCTGATCTAATACAAGCAGTTAATAATCAACCTTTTAAATACTACTGTACATTCGAGCTTTACCTCTTCGAGAAATCCTTCGCTTTCCAGAAATTTTAATGTCACCTTAAAATTTTTTTTTCTTTTAAATATTTTTTTCTTTTCGTCCCATTGTTTTATAGGTCCGTCTGCCCATATCGTAGAATCCATGCTAGTGTAACTTGTGCTTTGCGTTTCTTGGAAATTTTCAAAAGGTATCCATTCAATTATTTGATTCAAACTCTGGGAACTTGATTGTGACTCACGGATTATAGCATCTATTTCTGCGTTTCCACTTGTCCATTCCGAGAAAACATTGCTAAAACTCTCACGTACACATGTATTGCACAAAGACTTCATTTTTTTCCCGCAGCTTATACAGATACGGTGCGTTTCAGATTGCGTTGTATCTTTAGAAGTTTCTTTCTGCTTATCGACAGAAATCAAACTCAATTCAGAAAATTGATCGGTATCATTATAAGACTCAAAATCATTCATATTATCAATTGTTTTTTCTTTGTTTAGAAGCAACTTTTGAAATAATTCGCCGAGTTCACAATCTTCGCTCCATTTCAGTAGCTTTTCTTTGAAAATTTTTGCTTCACAAGATTTGCAAAAAAACATTTCATTAATTTGCTGACCGCATTGCTCGCAATTATTTCCAAATTGAATAGCGGACCCGCTCCTCTCTTTCGCCATTATCTCAAAATGTGTTAACGATAAAAAAAATATTGTTTGATGATGCGTGTTTGTTACGAGTGTGCGCATAAAATGTATTACGTACCACACAGTGTACTCAATCATTACGAAACTTGAATGTCACACAATGTATTTATAAACACAAAAAATAACGTAATTCATTACATATTCATATTGGTTTTTTTAAAAAAAACCTGAAATCACATATGTACAGCATATACAGTAGTCGATTACCTATATGCATAATGCTGTACAGTATTGATAGCAGAGAGATCATTGCGGATCACATGAAGTGGCACGATGCTATATAGAGGTAGAATTAGCTCACTTAAATCGGCCCGTTAGGGTCGAGCGCCCCTATTAATAGAGCGCGATTCTGTGTGACTATAAAATCTGAGAAGTTAAAG